TCCATTTAAGATCATCATAAGTAAAAAACGATCTTTATGTAGACTATAAAAATCAAAGTTGACAGTCTATATGTGCTTATTCAAAATCTTTATTTTTACATTGAAAATTTGTCAAATCCGCTTAAGTAACTAAAATGCAGAAATTAATAATAAATAACTATATCAGGATAAATTTGAAAAAATAATAGGAGGATAAGGGTGTAAATAACTTGGAAATTTGTTTAGCGTATAAAAATAGTTTTTCTTCCATTGATTTGATATTCATAAGTCACTGAAATAAGAAAGCAAACACGAAATAAAGATTTTAATTTTATCTATAAATTGTAAGGGACCAAAGGTCATACTTACATGCATACATATATATAAATTTTCAGTTATGCATCTTTAATACCCTCTCCGCTTACGTGAATATATATTATAAAATATCCGCCTTCTGAAAGCATCACGTCACGAATGTCTGCTGAAGTGGTTTACGCATTATCTAAAAAAATTGTCGGCGATCATGAAATCTGCTCCAATACTTTGATCGTGTTCCTTCCTTTTATTAGAAATAGTCAGCTAAAAATTCTACAAGAAAAGAATATGCTTTCGATAATTGTTTAGAAAGCAAATTATTCAATTCGCTGTGCAATTTCTTTTACGGAACAAAACCCTTCGCGTACAATATTGACAAAAGAAAAAAAAATATAGAAAATAGTGAGTCGTTTTGCAAATTCCTTAAAAAATTCTACAATATTTTAATATGTAACTTTAATATAATAGACATAGAGAATATTATGGGTTAAAATAAGGCAACTTCGTTACGTGTATACAAATTGATATACATATGTATATTATATGCACATACATAACAAGATAAAAATATGTATGTGTGTGTATCTAGGAAAACCATAAGATACAAATAAAAAATTAGTTTTCTTTCTTTTCTTTTATACCGTCGATTTGATCGACTAAGTGGCGCCGTTATATGTGGTAGATTGTGGGGGTGTTTTAACGGCATCGCAATCAAGTGGGGTTGTGAAAACGTGTAACAGAATAAAAAATGAATCAGTTATGAAAACAGTAAAACCTACTTGCCGTTTTATTCTTTCACAACTTAAAAAATATTATTTGTATATATAAGTTTGATACTAGTGTGAGTAAGTTTGTGTTTAGATATATGTATGTATATATACACTTGCATATATCAGTTCGAATAAATAATTTTGGATGATGCTACTTTGGGAAAATCGTTTTCTTTTCTGAATTGAAATTTTCTATTTTTATATTTCTTATTTTATTTTATAATAGAGGTAAAGAAATTCTAGTATCCTTTCTCGTAGTTTGTATTTTTAGGATTTCTTTTATTTTTTTTTTTGTATATTCGTATATTATTTGGATATTTATCATATTTATACTATATTAAATAGATTTTTACGAGACCAAAATTAAGTCTAAACAATGTTGGTTTCGATCAAATTAAATATAACGAAGTATTTTTCTAAATGTAATTTTAATATCTTGTAATTTGAAAATTTAAGTGGTTGAAGCAATAAGCTATGATAGATTCGGTGACCACATAGTGAATGAATTTTATTATTTGCATCAAATCCGAGTTGTAGTAATTTTCTAAAACTGGAGATAAAAATAGTAGTAAAAATTTATCAAAAAAAATTATGAAACACGTCGTAAGAACTGACTAAATATTTTGTAATATATCAAATCCCTGAAATCTGAATCTATACATATGTTTCAACAATTTGAAGTATGATATTTTTCATGATCTTTCCTCATCTACAGAGAGTACGAAATTGTTCAAATAAAGTAAATAATTTGTGCTTCATTTATTATGTTCCTTTTGCGTTTTTATTATGTTTAGTAAAGTATTTAAAGTCCTTGTATTGTCTTGTCCTACCTTGGTAAACCTTGAATGAAGAATTTGGGCAAAGGCACAAATTTGGAAAGAAATGTTTTTGTTTTTTCCCTAACTTCAATTCTAGAATTCAGTGCTCTACTTGAAATTAATTCAATTTTATTTAGAAAAACTACAACCCGTTCAACCCTTAAAAATGGTCAATATTTCATTTCAAAAACAAATAATTTAAGCATTTAAAGGCAAATTAATTTCTTTCACATTTTGTTATAATTTCTACCTAAAATGTAAGATAGTCGCTATCATCATGGGGTTTTTATGCAATAAGAATATTTAATTTAAAAAATTTAAATTAAAAAAAGTGGACCATTGGATATTTCGACCGATGGTTCAACGTGTAACTAATATTTGATTAATTTTAGTAGCTTCAACAAGAAATTTCTTCTTAAACAGTGTTAAAATGTAGCATAAAAAGTTTGTTAAAGTACTAGAATAAGTAAAAAAAAAATCTCACTTCCTCTTTTCTGAAATCGCAGAAACACATTACTTGTAAGCAGTAAGTTATAGAGAGCAATTTATAATACTAATGCAAACAAAAACGTGAATATTGTCTTGTATCGCAATAATATCATAGATTGTTATCCTTTTATTTAAATTTACAAAACTTTACTGTAGAGATAAATCTCATCTTTAAAAAATATACAATTTTATCTACACTCACGGTAGTACATTACAAGATACTTAAATTTAGCCTTTCGAATTGATTTCAAATAAACCTAGTTACAAGCCGTAAATACTGTATACAAATCCTCCACTAAAGTAAATAAAAAATGTATAAAAAAATTGAACTAAAAACGAGGAAAAACTCCCTTTTCTTAATATTTAAATTCCATATAACTCTCATGACAAATATAAAAAAAAAAAACTGAATTGAAATCTACAAAAGTTGGCACATATTTTCATACATTGGTGTAACTAACATTCAAATCAATTACTTTAGAAAAAAAAGTATATGTATACGTATTTCTCCCTGACTTTTTTAAATACGAAGGACTTTTCAATGGATGTGCGTTTAAGATTTAAAACACATTTGCATAAGAATTAAATAAAAGTTTCGAGGCGATTATATGTATTCATAGTCACTCGCACATAATAAAATATGGTGTTCCACTTAAGGCTCCCAACAATAATGATTATGAAAACCAGAGTAATCAACTGATGCGGAATTTTTTGTGTAGTTCAGCTAGAGACCATGTCGCATGGTCTGAATTATTGAGACAAATGCACTTTTTGTACAAGACCCCTCAATAAGTTGGATGACAGAGTGTTAAATTAATGAAACATTATTTTTGTTCCTTTTCCATTTAAGGAAACACGAATTAGGAAATAAATTTATATAGAATCGAAAGCCACAATGGGAACAACACAAGTAGTAATTTTAATTTTTCTCCCCATTCTATGCTGAACACTGTGTTACAAAACTTATGCAAGAAAATAATAATAAAAACTTTATCTGCTCTTCTCTTTTTTCTCTTCAAAGTAAGTATATTTTTGTTCTTTTCTCTTTTATTATCATCTAATTTGAATAAAGGACACAATTCATAAAAAATGAAATAATGCCCAAATGTTTTACTATAAAATACGAAATCATACAATGTATAAAGATTGTGTGAAAGGACTAAAAAGGATATTATCTTTTTTTATTATGTTGAATTTTTCTTTTTCTTTATGATTTGTATCTTCATATCTTTATGTATTATTAGCTAATACAGAAGAATGAATAGAGAAATAAAGGATATTATATGAGTGTAGGTAATTTTCATTACCTACTCCTGTGCCCATTATTTTCTTTTCTTTTTTATGTAGAAATGGAAATCATAGACAAAAGTATAAATAAAAAAAATAAAAAAATAAAAAAAAAATAATTTTAAATTGTTTCTCATTGTATATTTATGATTATCTTTATAAATTATTCAGACATTCTGTCTTCGCGTTATTAGTAAAATTAAATGGCATTTTAAGTGGAAACAATTTTCATTCAATTTAATGGTTCAATTACATTATAATTTGAGCTTAAGATATGTCTACAATGTATATGAGCCCATATTTTTGTATATATGATATACGAGTATATTGTATGTACTTGACCAAATGATTAGATAACATACATTTGTAATGATGTAGAAATCAATTATTTATGATTTCAATTGACTTAATTAATTTTAGACTTATTACAAGTGAAATTGTATATACAAGAAATGAATTTAAATTAAAGAAATATGTTAAGAAATAAAAAATGTATTTACATACATATGTACATATAGGTATAATATCAGCCGTAAATGGCGCCCCTGATTGTAATCATATTGTAATAAAAGGAATGCATGTTCACATTTTCGTTTACCATGCGAAAGGTTTGAAAAGCGAACGTTATGTATGATACTCGTATAAACTGAAACGTTGAAAAATAAAATATAAAAACTTTGTATACATAAATTACACTTTTATATTAGAATATATTCTGGTTCAATTGTAACAGTAGGATCATAATTAAATTCGCTATAATTATTCAGTCACTTTCTTACAAATTATTGCTACACTTTGTACATAGAACTTTGCGGCAGTTCTAAATATAATTTATTTGTCAAATATCAATGTACGTCTTTTTTCTCAAAATACAATATACTTATGTTCTTTTTTCAATTTATTTGGTTATTTGGTTGCAAAGCTATGAGGTACTGTAAAATTCTATTCTTGTTTTCAATAAGTTCAAATTGGTAAAGTTTGCAATATATTTTTAACTGTTCTATAACATATATAGAACAGTTAAAATATTTAACAGCGATCATATACATATTATTCTATTATTCCGAAAATTTGGTAATGTTTATGAGCAACCTGGGCTAGCAACATGGACATAAATGTAAGGTAGTTTTCACTATATGTCGCTAAATATTGCGTTTATGAAAAGATCCATAATTTGCACAGTTCTTTTATTTTCTTAATTTTAATACAGTTCTCCAATTACTGTTCATATTATATTGTTAAAAAATAATTATAATTTTTAATTAAACATTTACCATTGACTTATTAGTTTTTCAAAAAAAAATTTAAAAAAAAAAACACTTTTTTTTTGTTTTCATTTTAGAATTCAATTCGTCACAATTTATCTCTGCACAATCGTTTTATGAGAGTTCAAAATGAGGGTACAGGTAAATCTTCATGGTGGATGTTGAATCCAGACGCAAAACCAGGTAAATCAGTAAGACGGAGAGCAGCATCAATGGAAACATCAAAATATGAAAAAAGAAGAGGTCGAGCGAAAAAACGTGTAGAAGCATTAAAAAATGCTGGTATAACTGGTATCAATGATGCAACCCCATCACCCTGCAGTAGTGTTAGTGAGGGACTTGATCATTTCCCAGAGAGTCCTCTTCATAGGTAACTACCTACAACAACATATTTCATACAACAAAAGTAAAATGACTTTTTTCATTGCATTTAGTTTTCTTCTTCTTACAAAAAGTTTTTTTTGCATGCCTTAAATAATAAATTTTAGATTAAAATGTAGTTGCTACAACGTAGAAAATAGTAGTAGTTATAATTATAGAAATGATAATATTATAGTAGTAGTTTTCATATTAGTTCATTACAATGTGCATTTGATTGAACCTTTAATTTTATTCAATTTAAAATTTATTGACTGGATGCTAATAATAGCCATGACGCAATGCTTTTCATCAAAATTTGTATGATAGAAGAAATAAAAAATATAGCGATGCGAATGGTCAATGTCTACCCTATCGCTTACAATAGGCAATCGGCAATTTGTTTTATGTTTTTCTATATAGCTACACGAGAATTCTTCTGAAAAATCCTTCTTGGAGAATTTCTAACAATATTTTTCCCAATATAAGAAATAATCGATCGATTATCTTTCACGCCAATAAATAACTTAAATTCAATAATATTATTAAATTTTCGTTTGTGATTCCGACTCACTTGTTACAAACAACTTCTTTTCTACTCGAAGACAGAAAGACGATACACTATAGAATCTTTTTGGCAGAGTAATATGTTAGTAAACTTTTTATATTACTAGATTAAAATTTTCCTCTAAATACCCCCTTTTTCATAATGTTTCGAATGTTATCTGTAGTGTTTAGCATTTATAAGAACATTCTACAATGAATTCATTGACTTTTATTTTATATTTGAATTTACTGTATAAAATATTTTGATTTTAATTTATTAAAATCTGAAAAAGGTAAATGGTATATTAGTTTTGCTAAAGCAGATAGCAATGAAGATGGTAGAATATGCGAAACAAATAGAAGACATCTAATTTGGTTCTTAAAGGGTTTTTTTTTTAGTTTGATGAAAATATTGAATAAATTACATTTCTCATATAATTTTTATTGTTATATTTTTGAAGTAAATTTAATTATTGGTTATTTTTTTTATTATTTATTCTTTTATTCCAAGAAATTGCTTATTCATAAAGAAATTAAAATGCTCTATAAATAAAGTTGGGTAAAACCAATGGTTAGCAATGTAGCACTTAACCGAATTTAAGTTCGGTTTTAATTTATGCTCGGTTAATTGAGTTAAGAAAAATAATTGCATTTTTTAATGTCATGGCATTTGCCGTTAGCTTTTTGCATTTATAGAAATTTGGAAAAGTTCACAGTTTCGGAAATATATGGTGCCGAAAACTCATATTTTACAAATTTGTAGAGTCTGTACCTTCAGAGGGTAATAAGTGCGAATAATAAAATTCTCTTCTAACGAAATAAACTGTTTATTAATGTTTAAAATTTATGAAAATTTCAAACTTCTGGAATTTGCGGTCTAAAAGAAAAACGAGATTAAAAATTTGCAAAAAATGCACTTTAAATAACAGTAAAATTTAACGGCCATTTTGTTTTTTTAAAGTTCAAATATAGTATGCCGCGTTATAAGAAGCCAGCCGCTATTTTTCTGCGTTTGCGAAACCTTAAAAGGCATAAAGTTTCGTTACATTTAATAGTCAAAAAATGGCATTTTTAGGACTTTGAGGGGCTTTAACTTTTTAAATTTTTACCAATTAGGTTAGTTGGTTTGCATATACTAGAAAATTTTAATTTCTTATGTTGAATTTCGAAGGCTTTACTTAGGCTGTTCTATGCTAACTGCCTTTCAGTAATTGTTATATAAAAAAAAATTTTTCCATATACATACGTACTAGCAAAACTTTGTAAATTTAGTAAGCATTTTTTTTAGACATTATTTTAATTAATTTTAATTTTCAACATTCTTATTCTTTTAACCGTTATTTTTTATTATTTATTTAATATTTTTTTTTATTTTTGTTTTCTTTTGTTTCCTTAAATTATTTATTTTATAAAAAAAACAAAAACATCGCCTTTGTATAACAACAACAAATATTTGGACAAAATCAACTGATTTACAAAATTTAAAACAACAACAGTGCTGGATTTCAATTGTCACCTGATTTCCGTCAAAGAGCGTCATCAAATGCTAGTTCGTGTGGTCGTTTGAGTCCAATTCCAGCATTAGTTGGGGTTGAACCTGATTGGGGATTTGGTTCAACACAAGGACTTGCAGATTATCAAAATACATCAATAACACCAGCACAGTCTCAAACTTTAGATCAATTAGCAGGCTCATTTGCCGATGAATTAACAATTCAAAAGGATATTTTTCAAGGGTCAGTTAATTTTAATTTGATTTTATGTTTTTATTTTATTTTAATATTTATTTTAATTTAATTTCTTGACATTTTAAGATTTGTTTTTTAATTTTTTTTTGTATAAAATGTTAGCTATAGTTTATTTTCGCTATATTTATTCTACATGAAAGTGTGCTTAAGTTTTTAAAGCTGATAATCCAAGAATATTATGATAAATTTGATTACGATCATCTTTGTTTTTAATTGCATGATTGCAGTTTGCTTTTTTTTTTGAAAGCAACTATATTAATAATTGCATGATAAATTTCCAGAAATTGCAAAAACATTTTTTGTATTACATTCTTTACTCGCCGTGTAAATCCAATGCAGACCAAATTTAAGATCAAATTAAAGACAAGGTTTGCTTTATATTCTGCATTTTAACTTTAAATCTTACACTACGAATAAAAAATGTAATACCCAAATTGTGTTGAAATTACGCCATCTCAAATCAGAATAAATTAAAAATTAAATTTTATACTTCCAATAATTGCCACATTTTTAATGAATACTATATATGTATATATAAATACTTGCATGTGTAGTTGTAAAACAATTTTTTATAAGTTAAAGAGCTCTTTTGCTTTATTTGAATTTTTTTTTCTTTTATTCCCTTTGAAATTACTGGTCATACGGCTGGAGTAGGTTTAGTAATGCATCGATACCAAATCAACCCCCACCACCATACCAACCACCTCAGCCTTATTCATTACATGCAGCAGTAGCACAATCCTATGGAATACAACAAAGTCAATGTCCAATACACCGTTCACTGCCATGTACATGTTTACATAATTCCAGAGAGGTGCGAATTTATAAATTTTAATTTTGTTTTTTTAAATTGTTTATTTATTTTTTACAATTTTTAATATTTTTTTTGTACTTTTTTAGGGTTTATCACCATCTTCAGGAACTGGAATGTCTCCTTCATATCCACACAGTGAACCATCTACAGATTCACTAAATACATATACACAAATAGATAATACTTTAGCTCAACATAAACTAAATAATACGCAAATAGAGGGTGAGAAAATGTGTTTATATTGTGTTAAAATTTATGATATTAATAATGAAAACATTAAACGAAATCTAATTTTCCTTACAACCTTACAACGAAAAATAGTTCTATGGTTATTCATCTTTACCTACGTCTTGTTCCAATTTTAAAATTGCAATGTTTTATTTTCAAATATCAGGTGACAGAACTGGTAATAGTTTATATTCATACCATCTCACGCTATGTAATAATTCATAAGTATCAAAGATTGTAAAATTATCCGAATTCTTATTTACAAAGTAAGCGAAATTTAAGCGAAATAAGTCTCAAAAATAAATAAAATAAATAAAGTTTTGGAAAACTTTAAGAATTTGGTATTCTTTCAAAGAAATACCGTAGTTAATTTAAACTTGAAAGAAGTTTTAAGTAAATTATTGTAATTTACAGAGAATTATTCAGATCTCTTAAGTATTTTGAAAGTTATAAATAAGAGTTGATGCGAAATGTTATAGAGTTGGCTTTATCATGTACTCGCTCTTTATTTAGTCTGGAAAAATATGTTCAACTTAAATAATTAATGAAAAAATGTCTACGGTCGTTAAATAAAACTTCTTTGCGAAATTGAAGAAATCCAAAAAACAAAATTTTGCTAATTAGATACAATTTTTAAAATCTGGTAAGAAATGTTCCAAAAATTATTAAATTATGTGTAGAATTATACCTCAAAATTCAACAATAAAAATAATTTTCAAAATAATTTTTTAATAGCGTCACACTAATCGCCCCTTTTTGACTTATTCTCTTTGAAATTAAATCAAACAAAATTCAGTTATTTAAGAAAATGCTCTTCAAAATTCAATTGATGTGTATTCAAAGATATTCAATATAAATTTTTTTGTGAAATCAGAAACTCTAGAATATTTCTCATAGCATTTCAACAAAAATATTTGTGTTTTTTTGTTTCGTTGTAATTACGCTCTCTAGTTACATAGTAGCCATAAAATATTTTTACTTTATTCATTTTTTTCTTGACTTAGATGAATATATTCAGACGAATTTTATAGATAATACTGCATCAACGCTGATCGGACAATGTATGGAAGCGTTAAATAGTCAAAACCAAATGGAGGATTTTAATTTAGAAAGTTTTCATGGTGGTTTAGAGTGCAATGTTGAAGAGGTAACCATCATTTATTTTATAAGAATCTTAATGTTAATTACTTTTTCTTTTGTTGTTTTAGCTAATTCAACAAGAACTTAGCATTGATGGTCTCCTTGATATTAATATTCCATTAACATCAGCAAATAATGCAGCTAATGCAGCAGCCATAGTCAATCATCACAATAATATGTTAAATAATCATCATCATCATCATCATCACCATCATCACCATCATCATCAACAGCAACAACAACAACAACAACAACAGCAACAACAACAACAACAACAACAACAGCAACAACAGCAATGTGCAACAAATTCTCAAAATTTATTAAATAATAGTGTCACAACAGCAGCAACAATAATTGGTAGTAATACTAGTGTTATTAGTAATAATTTATTAAATTCAACAACAATAGGAACACCATCATCATCTACAATAGCAACAACATCAGTAATAGGATCAACATTAGGACAAATTGATATAAATCAAACAACATCAACCAATTCTCATCCAAAAGTACAATATTCTCAACCATCAGCAAGTGTAACTAGATCATGGGTTCATTGATGTATGTGGAATTCATATTCATATGGAAATTATTAAAGAAATTAGCAAAACAAAAAAGAAAAAATGGAAACATCAACAACATTTTGATTAATTTTTTTTTTTATTAAAATAAAATTTTAAAATATAAAAACAAATTCAACAAAATGGAGAAATAATTAAAATTAAAATAAATTTACTTTAAGGTAAGCAAAAATAAAATTTATAGTTTTATCAAATTTCCTTTAATAAAATCAAATTAGGATTAATATAGAATTAGGATTATACTCTATAGACTAATCTGTGTAGTAACTTAGAAAAGACTTGAAATATTTTATTAAAAAAAAATTTACATTGAGGAATTTCGTTGTGGAAATTACGATGCAGGGAAATTTTAAAAAAGTGCAACTCCTTGTGGATCTAAATGAAATTTTTATTTATACTGTATTTGCAAAATGTCTTAAAGTAGGTGCATCTCTAAAACCTATAAGTTTACATGATAAACTGATAAAAAATTAGAAAAACCAATTGAAAAAATAAATAATTTTATTAAGATGCACATAATGTGCCTATGTATAACACCTTGGAAATTCTAATTTGAAAATGACTAATAAAGGTAATTGAAAGGTGTAATGAAACTCCACAAATAACACTTAATTTAATTTTGTACGCATATGCAAATTACGCGTTCACATATAAAATTTCAAATTGTGTAAAAATATTAAAAATTTACTGCAAAAATTTTTGCATTTATTTGAATGTTTTTCATGTGTCGACCAAGTACAAATTATGAAAGCCGTACAGTTGAATTCTAGCAATTGATAGTAAATTAATTTCAATAATTAAATAAAAAAATCCTGCTGAGCTTTAGAAAAAAATTCATTAATTTTGAAGAAGTTTTATTGCTTGTTGCTGTTTTTGAAATTATTTTCATTTCTGATTGTATTTTTTGTTCCTCAAATTCCAATTGTTTTTTAAAATGTCAATATCTATATTACATAAGAAAACTATTTAAATTTTAGATATTAAATTTTTAAATTTTCATTATTTATTTTGTGTTAACATAGTATTTTTAACAAAATTTCCTTCTTCTTCATACCGTCTAATTATAATATAAAAATAGGGTGAATTAAAAAAAAGGCACCTTAGAAAAAAAGATAAAATGAGAATTTTATATGTGGGTGTCCTTTCATCGAATTTTTGATTTTTGCTATTTTTTTAATTTTTTATATTTCATCTTATTATTACGCATCAAAAAAATTGTTTTATCGATTTACACAAAAGAAAAATTTGAATTAAAAATTCCAATAAGGATAGAATGTCCTTGCTAGTATGAAGATATTCTATCCGTATTTTCATATATGTTTGTACACACATACATACCAAACAGTACATACATACAATATGTTGATGTATGTGTGTGTTTTTTATAAAGGTATACCTAAAAGCATGTACGTACATTGTTATAATAAGCTTGTTTACAAAATTCATAATTTACTTTTAATATAATAATTTTTTTTTTAAATACATATCTTTCGTAAATGAAAAAACATTTATGAATGTTAAGTTCTACAGGTGGAAGTATTTAAATTTTATGAATGATTTTTATTGTAACTTAAAATAAATGCTTCAAATGTTAACATTCATTACTTCTCAGTGGGTGAGAATCAAATTATTTTTAATATATTTTTTTTTAATTATTATTTTAATGAGAATAAGTAAATAATATGTTGACTTAAAAATCTTATATATTTGTTCTGTTTATATGCTATTTTACACATATTTGTATACCAAATTCATATTCTTTTGAATTATTTTTGATTTACGCAATATTAATTTCCTTAATTTTGAAAAATATGGGTTTAAGGAATACTTAAGAAGTGAACAAATGAAATTATTTCAATTCCTTCAAATAGCTCGAATTTAGTTAAATTAACAAGAATAATTTTTGTGAGACGGTGAGTTATTGTTTTTGTTAAAATGCGATTTAAAAAACAAACAAAATTGATCGTGAAAAGTTTTTATTCAAAAGTCAAAATTAATAAAGTCAAAAATGTAGAAAATGAATGCATTTTATATTACATTTTATTTCGAAATTGTGAATCGAACATTAATAAATTCGAAAAGAATGTTCAGAAGAAGTTCCTAATAAAACATAATAGCAATTACTTGCTCAAATCGTCCATTTTTTGAATCTAACAGAAGATAAATTTATTCAATCCGCATAAGATTCTAGAATTGTTCTAGAATTTTTCTAGCCTAAAATTATAGAATTTTTTATCTCGAACTGTTAGGTGTTTTATCAGTATTTTTGATTTTACCAGCAAAAATTCTAGTGCTGCTTGGCGTGCTGTAAAATATTTAGATCATCATACTTTGTTTTGAGCCCGGATTCTTTATCAATCATATTTTGTATACATAATTCTATATTTTTATAGCATTTATTGAAGTGAAAAAAATTTTGCAAATTTTTTTGTATTTAGAAAACTTACCAACTTTTTTGGTAATTACAAACTAACAAAATCATCTATTTAAATTTTAAAAATATAATGAAAATCTTGATATTTAATTGTATTATGTTCTCTATGAAATCGAAACCATGTGAAAGACTATATTTCAAATACAGCGTAAGTACATAAAAAATTAAAATGCAAGATTTATGTACAATTGGAACCTCAAGCTAAATTTGTTATACATATAACAAGAATTTTTTGATAAATTTGTATTCAAAGAATTCTTAATAGTTTTTATAAATTTTGCCCTTTGAGTTTTGCAATTATACTTCTCTTCTCATTATTTTGTTTTTATTAAATTAATTTTCTGCGTAAAAATTATTTGTTCCTAAAAATTGTACTTTACAAATTTTATAAAAGAATTTTTTTTTAAACTCGCTTTTCTTTTTTCATTCCAAGTGAATTGCTGTATTTCAAATTCTGTTTAATAAATTAAATATTTTATTCCATTTTAATAAATTAAATCTAAATGGAATTTCAGATTTTTCTTCTTTTTTTTGTTTCTTTTGAAAAATTAACCAAGGGAATTTATCTTTCCTTAAAGTTGGTTGTAGTTAAATTGAATAAATACCATTCTATGCATAATTTATTAAGGAGGAATCTATTATTCAATTATGATATTTTATTTTGCTGTAAAAAAAAGAAAGATGTTTTAGGAGAAAATAAGAAAGTTTTTCATTCATTTTAGCTTTTATAAATAACTTAAAGAAGTTTCCTGGAAAACTTTTCATTATATTTTTTTTATTATTATGATTATTGCCAACAAGTTTTTTATTCCAACTAAGCGAAGATAATTTCCTGTCATCTAATTTCATCAGAAAAATAAAAAGTAGACAACTTTGACGCACAAAACAAAAAAACTTTGTAATTGTCCATTTTTCAAGAAAAATTTCAAAGTTTTATTTAAATTTCTTATAAATTCTCTACATAATTTAATCAAAACCTGTGGTATTGCATACTTTCCCTTCCTTTCTTTTTGGTCGGTCCTTTTGTGATCATTTTATTATTATATGGAAAAATAAAAAAAAAGATTTTTTTTTGTTAAATTTTGTGTTTAAGTCAAACAAATTTAGATTTTAGTTTATTATAAAAATTGTTTAGAAAGTAAATAAAAAAAAAATGCATGAAGTTGTCAAAATAAAGTAGGAAATTTCCCGAAATTTTCAAATAATTTTATATTAGAATTCTATTTCGAATATTACGTCGGTGACAACAATTTTTATAGATCGTCTTCGTCAAAAAATAAATTTTAAACCAAAATATTAACATATTTCACCTCTAACGTGAATACTGATTTAGTGTTATATTAGTTTTATTAGCACTTTTCCAAAAAATTTTTTGAAAAGAAGTGCTTATTAGTTTCTCTCTGTCCTTCCGTCCGTCTGTCCGTGTGTTGGTTTACAAAACTTCTACACCCTTAGAGGATAGAAAGCTGAAATTTTACATGTACATAGATCTTTATTAGAAACTTATTTTCGTAGAACAAAATTTTTACCTATCTCCCCCCCTCTAGAAGTTATACCCCACAAAACCCTAAAAATTACATTTTTTAACTATTTGTTGCAATGAAACCATAAGCATTTTTGAAATTTTTCAAACGCAGAAAGGCAGTGGGTTGCTTCCCTTATCGCGGTATACTATAGTTAAACTTTAGAAAAACAAAATGGCCTTTCAAATTTACCGTTATCTAAAGTCCTTTTTTTTCAAATTTTTGATTTCGTTTTTCTTCTAAACCCCAGCCTGTAGAAGCTTGAAATTTTAGGGGCTTTTAGACATTAACAAATAGTTCATTTCGTTAGAAGAAAATTTTTTTCCATCTCCATCCGCTCTCAGATAAATTCCATGACATTAAAAAATATAATTATTTTTCTTAACTCACTAATTAACCCTTAAAATCGAGCATTATGTTAACCCCACTTTATATTAATTTTTGCTTTATTTCAAAGACTGCATAAATCATTCATCCTAAATATATGCAATCCTAGAAATAATTTTGTATATGAATGAAAATAATTTTAATAGTGTGGTAAGTATATAAAGACTGTATTTAAAAGCAGTATTTTCACTTATTAAAGGGAAAAGTGCTACAATACAAATCATTGGTTTGACCCAACTTTGTTTTATATTTGAATATTATCAAATGAAATCCCGATAACTGAAATGAAAACTCTCAGTGTGACTCAATTTCATACAACATTATATTAAGTTGCTGAGAATTATTCTTCAAGAATTGTAGAGTATGAATTATTAGTATTGTAGGTAATTTCAGAATTTGTGAAGAAAACGTTCACAAAAACATTAAATTTGCATTATTCAAAACAAACATTTTTTACTTTAGCTTAGGACCGCTATAATTTCGAAAAATTTAAAACGAATGAAACAAATCATGTATATGAATCTAATATAATAAAGTTGGGTCAAGCCAATGGTTTGTAAAGTAACACTTTTCTCTTGAATCAAATGAATATCTTGCTTTTAAATCGTTATTAAAGTTAATTTCATTCATACACTAAAATATTTAAAATGACTGCATATATTAAGGAAGAGACAAAAAAAAATTTGAAACAGTCGTTAAAATAATAGCTGAATTCGAGGATTAATTGCGTGACTTAAAATAAATTATTATATTTTTTCGATGGCATGGTATTTATCGTCAGCTTTTTGCATTTATCTAAATTTGGAAAAGCTTACAA